CCACCCAGTTCGGCGCACCCCTCGCACGTTCCGTGGCCCAACAGGGAGCTCCACCGAAGACGGGGCCTTCAACTGCGGCACTCACAACTGCAAATGGTTTCGCCCGTCGCCAGGCTAAGTCGTTTTTTGTGGGGAGAAGGGGTTCCTGTAGGAATACTGTACGCAGCCTCTTTAAATTAGTTAATGTTGTTTGATGTGCGTGCGTGTGCGCGCGTGTGCGTTGTCCAACCAAATTGCGGCGTTGGGCCCCCCTTTTGAAGAGACAGCGCACCGCGTTCACTCACCCCCCTCCCGCTGACCCCCCCCTCCCCCCCATCCATCATCACCATCGCCATCAGTCACAGTCAGTCATCATCAGCCGTCATCGTCGTCGTTGTCATAATTATCATCCTTACCGTTGCCGCCATCATAATCATCCTCATCGCCAGCATCATCACTGTTGTCGTCGTCGACATCACCATCACGTTTCGTGGCCCCATAGGGGGCCCCACCGAAAGTTCAAGTGACTGCGCCCGCATGCCTCCCCCACGTCCACTTCGGAACACCGCGCGCGCGTTTCGTGGCCCCGTAGCGTGCTCCACCGAAGGCGGCAGTGGCTGCGCCCGCACGCCGCCCCCGCACCCATTTCGGCACCCCCTCAGACTTGTCGTGGCCTCATAGGGAGCTCCAGTCGAAGGCCCCAGTGGCTGCGCCCGCATGCCGCCCCCACACCCATTTCGGAATACCGCTCACACGCTTCGTGGCCCCATAGGGAGCTCCACCGAAGGCCCCTCTGGCTGCGCCCGCATGCCGCCCCCGCACCCATTTCAGCACACCCCTCACAAGTTTCGCGGTGCCATAGGGAGCTCCACCGAAGGCGCCAGCGACTGCGCCCGCATGCAGCGCCCACGCCCATTTCGGCACACCGCTCACACGCTTCGTGGCCCCATAGGGGGCTCCACCGAAGGCCCCAGGGGTTGCGCCCGCACGCCGCCCCCACACCCGTTCCGGCACACCCCTCGCACGTTTCGTGGCCCCTACGGAGCTCCACCGCAGCCCCCAGCGGCTGCGCCCGCACGCGGCGCCCCCCCCTCCTTTTCCGGCACACCTTTCACGCGCTTCGTGGCCCCATAGGGAACCCCACCGAAGGCTTCAGTGGCTGCGCCCGTATGCCGCCCCCACCCATTTCGGAACACCGCTCACGCGTTTCGTGGCCCCATAGGGAGCTTCGCCGAAGGCCCCACTGGCTGCGCCCGCATGCCGCCCACGCACCAATTTCGGCACACCCCTCGCACGTTTCGCGGCCCCTGATAACGAGGATTCAACACCAAAGGGCGGTCGGGAACAATCCCTTGCCAATATTCAGGAACCAATGGGACTTGATTGCGCCGCATTCAATGCGCGGCTGCGCGGTGGCGGGCAAGGCGGCACAGTCTTCTACTGAACAGACAGTGTACTTTATCTTATGGGTGTTCACCCGTTGCCTCCCGCTTCTACATTTCTCCCACGACAATCTGACAGCGCTTTGCGGGTCTTCTTCCCCGATCATGGAAATCATGGCAGACATCTCGTTGAAAATGTGGACCGATTGCAAGGGTTGGAAAAAACGAATGAAACAGTCATCGAAGGATTATTCAATCAACACTTGTTCTTTACACCCCCGTTCGCCGCGCTGGGTCTTCCGCGGTGGCGAGGTCTTTCATTCGTTCATCTGTGCCAAGATGCCACGCGACAGCAATGAGACCGCATTCGCTTTGCGAAAACAAATCAACAATTTCGGCGCCTTCATCTGCCAACGCACCACTTGGGCATTCCAACTTTTGAGCATTGTGAACGCGGAGCCATCTTTTGAATCTGATGACCCAAACCTGGCCCCTATTGCGGTGTGGCAGCATTGCAAACATTACACATCCAGGCAAAACACATTGAAGCTATTCAAGAGGTTCGTTTGAGATGTCCCAAAGGCGCCCCTTCAAACTTGCCGTGCTCCGGAAAATGCAGATGGCCCTCATGCGTTTCACAATCCCCTGGAAAAGAATGTGCCAAAGGTAAATGAAGAATCTGCCGGGATTTTAACGGCCTTGGTTTATGTTGACTATTGCTTTTTATTGGATGATATGATCAAATACAACTGGGAAGCAACAGTTTTCAACCAAAGACAACAGAGCGTGCATCGCATTTCTTTTGACTCCGACGAAATAGTGGCGCTGAAATCGTGGCTCACATGCGCCTGCAATTGCTGCATGCACGAACGGTTCTTTCAAGTGCATTTCAAAATGGCGCGTCATCGGCGGGAGGGCAAAGCTTGAACGGGTTACTTGCATTGCGCATGTTTTTACGCAGCGCCAACGCCATCGCGCTACAATCAACATCATATCTTCGTCATTCGTCCGTCGTCCGTTCGTCCGTTTTGTCTCTCGCTCTCTCTCTCTCTCTCTCTCTCTCTCTCTCTCTCTCTCTCTCTCTCTCTCTCTCTCTCTCTCTCTCTCTCTCTCTCTCTCTCTCTCTCTCTCTCTCTCTCTCTCTCTCTCTCTCTCTCTCTCTCTCTCTCTCTCTCTCTCTCTCTCTCTCTCTCTCTCTCTCTCTCTCTCTCTCTCTTTCTTTCTCGTTATCTCCCTCCTTCTCTCTCTACCTCGCGCGCGCGCGCGCCGGGGCAGCGACGGGGGCGGGGTGGAAGGAGGGGGGGGGGGGGGGGGCAAGGGCGGACCGCGTTGGGAGGAGCGGGCTGGGGGAGACGGGGAAGGGCGGAGGACGCAGGAAGAGGGGGGGCACGGCCTAAGGAGAGGAATGGCCAGAGGAGACGGAGGAGGTGGAGGAGGAGGAGGAGGAGGAAAAGGAGAAGGATTGGGAGGCCCTGCAGGTCACGGCAAGTCGTCGCAGAGGTCCTTCCCACCTCGTTTTACCTTCCTTCAGGCTCGTTTTGCCCTCCTCCAGGCTTGTGTTACCCTCCCCCCAGCGCGCTTTATCCTCCAGGCTCGTTTTACTCTCATCCAGGCTCGTTCTACCCTCCTCCAGGCTCGTTTCACCTTCCTCCAGGCTCGTTTTACCATCATCCGGTTTCGTTTTACCCTCATGCAGGCCCGTTTTACCTTCCTCCAGGCTCGTTTTACCCTCCTCCAGGCTCGTTCTACCCCCTCCCAGGCTCGTTCTAGCCTCCTCCAGGCTCATTCTACACTCCTCCAGACTCCTTCTACCCTCTCCCAGGCTCGTTTTACCTTCTTCCAGACTCGTTTTACCCTCCTCCAGGCTCGTTCTACCCCCTTCCCAGGCTCGTTTTACCTTCTTCCAGGCTCGGTTTACCCTCCTCCCGGCTTGTTTTGACTCCCTCCAGGCTCGTTTTACCCTCCTCCGGGCTTGTGTTGCCCTCCCCCCAGCGCGCTTTATCCTCCAGGCTCGTTTTGCCTTCCTCCAGGCTCGTTCTGCCCTCCTCCAGGTTCGTTCCACCCTCCTCCAGACTCGTTTTACCGTCTTCCAGTGTCGTTTTACCATCATGCAGGCTCGTTTTACCATCCTCCAGGCTCGCTTTACCCTCCTCCAGGCTCGTTCTACTCCCTCCAGGCTCGTTTTACGTTCCTCCAGGCTCGTTCTACCATCCTCCAGGCTTGTTTTACCCTCCTCCAGGCTCGTGTTGCCCTCCTCCAGGCTCGTTTTACCTTCTCCCAGGCTCGTTTTACCTTCTTTCAGGCTCGGTTTACCCTCCCCCAGCCTTGTTTTGATTCTCTCCAGGCTCGTTTTACCCTCCTCCAGGCTCGTGTTACCCTCCCCCCAGCGTGCTTTATCCTCCAGGCTCGTTATACTCTCGTCGCCTCGTTTTACTTTCCCCCAGGCTTGTTTTACCTTCCTCCAGGCTCGTGTTACTCTTCCCCCAGCGCGCTTTATCCTCCAGGCTCGTTATACCCTCCTCCAGCCTCGTTTTACTCTCCTCCAGGCTCGTTTTACCTTCCTCCAGCCTCGTTTTACCCCCTTCCCAGGTTCGTTTTACCTTCCAGCCTCGTTTTACCCTCCTCCAGGCTCGTTTTACCCTCCTCCAGGCTCGTTTTACCTTCCTCGCAGCTCGTTTTACATGCATAGTGCGGGTGCTGGATAGGATATTCAATATATTGGACGTTATCTTCGGCTCCTGGAGGCCCTCGTCTGGGGGGAGGGGAGGGGGCGGGGGTTCGATCATGGCCCCCCTCCAAAGCTCCAAGAACTCACAGTGGCGCCAAAGCTCCAAGAACTCATAGTGACGTGGCTAGCTCTTATCACCAAGGCTCCCAAGATTGAAGTCTCGGGCAAGTTTCTGATTACTGTCTGTACGTTCCCGTGCCGGCTTGTTCTAACACGATTGTTCTAGCAGGAAAGGACATTTTGGTTGGATTCCTACATGTGCGATGTTATATTTTCCCAATGAACGAAGACCTTGCTTGACTGTTCACTCGAGGCTCCGCGGCCACTCGACCCCGTTTGGGGGCCAGATTTGCTGCGCCAGCGGCTTCAAGATGGGGGCGATGTCGCGGACTGACGCGCACTTGTCTTACGGGGGGGCCCTGTCCGCCAAGTCCGGCGATTACCTCGCCGATCCCGGCGTGCCTGACGACGAGTACATGGGGCTTTTTCACGAGGCAGTGGCCGCGATCCGCCCCGTGCTCCTGAGGCTGCTCGGGTGGGCTGAGGCAGAGATGCCCCCGTTGTGCAGGGAGTTCGGCTCGATGCGCGAGCTCGGGAGTTCGGGTGCCACTGCCCCGCCTTTGTCCCGGGCCGCGCCCGCCCAGGCCCTGGACTGGCGCACTGGCCCCCCCCCGCCACGGCAGGGCGGGGCGCGCGCTCCAGCCCAGCACCTGGCGCAGGCTCGGCTGGGGCCGTCGGCGGCGCATTGTCATTCGGCCCTTAGGAAAACTATGTAAACCATGATGGCCACCAAGAAGGACGACGATTGGACCCACATCCACGAGCATTGCAAGACTACCGATGACCCCGAGGGCTTCGAGGCTCTTTCGGCCCAGGAACAGCGACTCCGAGTTGCGGCGTCTACCCTCCAGGCGGCGGCGGACGACCTCGTCGAGCCAGCGGAGGAGCGGATCGAGAAGACGCTTTCGGTTGATTCTGCCAGCGCCCAGGCCGATTCCCGCGGGGGCCAGGGCAATGGCGTCGTCGGCGAGCTCGGCGCGGGTTCTGGGGGCGAGGACGAGGAGAGCGATTATTACGTCGCGTACGAGCCTGGCTCGGGCCTCTTCCGGCTGTTCCAGAGCATGCGCAACTTGCGCCCCGACGGCATGGTTCATTGCTTGTCGGAGTTAGCGGCCCGATGCAACGCATTGCTGACCACCGACAAGCACAGGGGCATGGCGAACAAGCGGACGATCAAGGAGCGCCTGGCGCAGTCCTCCAAGAAGTTCGAGACTGAGCGCGGCAGCTGGGGCTACGTCAATTTGGTTTTCTGCCCAAGGAAGACGGCGGCACCTTCCCCAGAATCGCGGCGCCCTTCAAGAAGGCGTACGAGAGCTTCCTGCTGATGGAGGAGCCCGACAACGAGGCTGCCAAGCTCAGGGAGCTGAAGAAGCTCAGCGACACTTCCACGAGATTCCACGTGGAGCTGGCGACGGTATCCACGGCGCGCTCCAACGGCGGGTCCACGTGTTGGGAGCCATGCAAGGCCGGCTCCGCCAGGCCGCGGGCCTGGTCAGGGTTCGCGGCAGATGCGTGCGTCCTACCAGGCGCGCAGTTCTCCCCAGTTGCTTTACCGACGAAGCCAGAGGCGGACCCGACGTTCTTCCACGCGCATGCGAACATGGCCGAGCACGTGGCCGCGGAGGTGCAGGAGGGCAAGATCGACGAAGATGTGGATTCCAGGCGCGCGGGTTCCATCCTGAAGGCAATCGGCACCCTGGCGGGCTACGCCAAGCAAGTGTACATGACGACTGCGAAGGCCAGCCGCCTGGGCGTTCCGCCGAAAAAATTGAAAGACGCCAGGCAGCCGCAGATCGCAAAGGCGGTGAAAGATTTGGTCTGCATGTACCCGGTGGCCCCGCGCGCTGGTTGCCGGAGCCTTTACATATCGGCGCGCGTGCCCGCTGCGGACTGGCCACGGGGGCGCGCGCCGCCTGGGCCTCTATGACATTTCGAGCTGGGGGGCCAGGAGTCCTCCACTTGCTCGTGGCGCCACCCATTCATCTGGTTCCCCGCGAATGGCGGTTGGGTCCTGGGCCCGCGGCGAACGGGGGGCGCCCTGGGCCAGGGGGGCCCTGCGGGCCCCCAGTCAATGTTACACGGACCAGCGCTTGACGCGATTTGACGCGCGACATGTAGCTGCTGCGATCGTGGCCGACAGCCGCGGCTGAAAAGTCATGACTGCGTGCATCCCGCCGTTGCTTTCCTTCGCCGCCTCTCGGGCGCTGCCAGGGGGTCCTTGCCCCAGGTGGCTTCAGTGATTCCGAGGAGGCCAAGGTGCGAAGGTGGTTGCCACCCCGCCCTCACGATGCCCAGAGCGCCCCAGGGATCCGGGAATTGACGGAAAGGTGGAGCACTTGGGGCCGGGGCCTCCTCTGAGATTGCCCGATCCTCGCCGTTCGTTGTTCACCTCGGCGCCCCGACCAGACCAGACGTTGTTGCGTGAGGTCCCAGTCGTCTGCGACGCCCGTCCTACTACGTCACCCCGCCCACGTGCACGGGAATAAACCTTCTGGGTATACCGGTCATCGGGAACATAGACGGCCGAATTCTTGACGTTTCGCGCGCCCCCACCAGCCTATCCAGAAACGGCGCCCAGGCGATCTGAGGTGATCAGAGCAGGAACAGGAGGAGGTGGGAAGCTCTCGGGCCACTTGGACCCATCTTGCGGCGGCATTGGGGCTTCGTGGAGCTTATTGGAAGCCATCTTGAGGCATCTTGGGCTATCTTGACCCATCTTGGAGGCCATCCTGGGTTCTCCGAGGCGCTCTTGGAGCAATCTTGGGCCATCTTGGACGCTCCGACGCGTCGCGAAGCCCCCCGTCCAAGTCCAGAGGGGGGATGCGGGGAGGGGCACGAATCGGAACGAGCCCGAGTCCGAGCACGAGCCCGAGCCAGAACCCGAGCCCGAGCGCGCGCCCCGAGCCCGAGCGCTTAGACCTGAGCTTGACCGAGCCCGCCCGAGCAAGAGCACGAGCCCGCGCCCCGAGCCCAAGCCCGAGCACGAGCACGAGCCCGAGCATGAACCCGAGCCCAGACCCGAGCCCGAGCTCGAGCGCGCGCCCCGAGCCCGAGCCTAGATCCGAGCTCGACCTCGACCGAGCCCCAGCGCGAGCACGAGCCTGAGCACGAGCCCGCGCTCCGAGCCCGAACCCGAGCCCGCGCTCCGAGCCCGACCCCAATCTCCATTCCGACCCCGACCAACTCCCTCACCCCGCGATCTCGTTCCCGATACCGATCCCGAATCCGACCCCGAGCCGCAGCCCGAACCCAAGCCTGCGCCCGAACCCGAACCCGAGCTCGGACCCGAGCGCGAGCCGAAGCCCGAGCCCAAGCCGAAGCCCGAGCCCGAGCCCGAGCCCGAGCGCGAGCCCGAACCCGAGCCCGAGCCCGAGCCGAAACCCGAGCCCACGCCCGAGCCCGAGCGCGAGCCCGAGCCCGAGCGCGAACCGAAGCCCGAACCCGAGCCGACGCCCGAGCCCGAGCTCGAGCTCGAGCCCAAGCGCGAGCCGAAACCCGAGCCCGAGCCCGAGCCGAAGCCCGAGCCCGAACCCGAGCCCGAGGAGCGCGAGCCCGAGCCCGAGCCAGAGCCCGAGCCCGAGCCCGAGACGAAACCCGAGCGCGAGAACGAGCCCGCGCCCGAGCCCGAGCCCGAGCCGAAGCCCGAGCCCGAGCCCGAGCCGAAGTCCGAGCGCGAGCCCGAGCGCGAGCCGAAGCCCGATCTCGAGCCGAAGCCCGAGCCCGAGCCCGAGTCCGAGCTCGAGCCCGAGCCCAAGCCCAAGCGCGAGCCTGAGCCGAAGCCGGAGTCCGAGCGCGAGCCCGAGCCCGAGCCCGAGTCCAAGCCCGAGCACGAGCCCGAGCGCGAGCCCGAGCGCGAGCCCGAGCGCGAGCCGAAGCCCGAGCCCGAACCGAAGCCCGAGCTCGAGCCCGACCCGAAGCCCGAGCCCGAGCCCGAGCCCGAGCCGAAGCCCGAACACGAGCCCGAGCTCGAGCCCAAGCCCGAGCCCGAGCCCGAGCCTAAGCCCGAGCCCGAGCCGAACCCGAGCCCGAGCCCGAGCCGAGCGAGCCCGAGCCGAGCCCGAGCCGAGCCCGAGCCCGAGCCCGAGCCCGAGCCCGAGCGCGAGCCCGAGTTCGAGCCCGAGCCGAGCCCGAGCCCGAGCCCGAGCCCGAGCCGAAGCCCGAGCCCGAGCCCGAGCCGAAGGCCGAGCCCGAGCCGAGCCCGAGCCCGAGCCCGAGCGCGAGCCCGAGTTCGAGTCCGAGCGCGAGCCCGAGCCCGCGCGCGAGCCCGAGCCCGAGCCCAAGCCCGAGCCTAAGCCCGAGCCCGAGCCGAGCCGAGCCCGAGCGCGAGCGCGAGCCCGAGCCCAAGCCCGAGCCCGAGCCCGAGCCGAAACCCGAGCCCAAGCCCGAGCCCGAGCCCGAGCGCGAGCCCGGGTCCGAGCCCGAGCCCGAGCCCGAGCCCGAGCCCGAGCCGAAGCCCGAGCGCGAGCCCGAGCGCGAGCCCGAGCGCGAGCCGAAGCCCGATCTCCAGCCGAAGCCCGAGCCCGAGCTCGAGGCCGAGCCGAAGCCCGAGCCCGAGCCCGAGCCCGAGCGCGAGCCCGAGCCGAGCGCGAGTCCGAGCCCGACCGGACCCTTAGCTTCAGCCCAAGCCCAAGCCCGACTCCGAGCGAGAGCCCGAGCTCGAGTCTGAGCCCGAGCCGGACCCCTACCCCGACCCCGAGCCCGAGCCCGAGGCAAAGCTGGAGCACTATTCCGAGTGCGAGCTGAAGCCTGAGCGCAAGCTCATGCGCGAGCCGAAGTCTGAATCCGAGCTGAAGCCCGAGGCCCGAGCCGAAGCCCGAGCCCGAGCCGAAGCCCGCTGAAGCCGAGTCAAGCGCGAGCCCGAGTTCGAGTCCGAGCCCGAGCCCCGAGCCCGAGCCCGAGCGCGAGCCGAAGGCGCGAGGCCGAGCCGGAGCGCTAGTCCAAGCCCAGAGCCCCAAGTCGAAGCTCGAGCGTGAGCTAGCCGAAGCCCAAGCACGAGCCGAAGCATTTCTCTCAATATGAATTTGGAAGCTTTTCAGAAATTATTCCTGAAAAGGTGTCCAGACCAAAAATGAGTCATAGAACCGTTTTGCATCTTTGATTGTGAAAATGAATCGTGGAATCTTCCGGAATTTGATTATATTTCTTCAGGTTGGAAAAGGAGAATAACACAACGACGTATACTTCATTTTGCGTTCTCAACCGCAATTAAAACAAACTCGTAACCACGAGCCCAAATGATGCTCTCGTTTCGCATTCTCGTACCGCACGGCTCGCAGAGCGCAAGTTAAAGCAAAAACTGAAAGCACGAGCTCAAATGATACTCTTATTGTGCGCTCTCGTACGGCACGGTTTGCAGAGCGCAAATGAAAACAGAAACCGTAAGCTCTAGCTCAAATGATGTTCTCATTTTACGTTCTCGTACCGCACGGCTCGCACAACGCAAAACAAAAAAACACAGAAACCGCAACACACAAATTCAAATGATACTCTCATTCACGGCTCACTGAATGCAAATGAAAACCAAAATTGTAAGCGCTAATTCGAATGATCTTCTGATTTTACGTTCTCGTACGGCACGGCTCGCAGAGCGCAAATGAAAACAGAACCGTAAACATTAGTTCAAATGATGCTCTCATTTTGCGTTCCCGTACCGCACGGCTCGCACAGCGCAAATGAAAACAGAAACCGTAAACACACATTCAAATGATGCTCTCATTTCGTACTCTGGTACCGCACGCGGCTCACTGAATGCAAATGAAAACCAAAATTGTAAGCGCTAGCTCGAATGATCTTCTGATTTTACGTTTTTCTACGGCGCGGCTCGCAGAGCGCAAATGAAAACAGAAACCGTAAACACTAGCTCAAATGATGCTCTCATTTTGCGTTCTCGTACCACACAGCTCGCACAACGCAAATGAACATATAAGCCGTAAACACAAGTTCAAATGGTACGCTCATTTCGTATTCTGGCACTGCACACGGCTCACTAAATGCAAATGGGAACCAAATTTGTAAGCGCTAACACGAATGATCTTCTGATTTTACGTTCTCGCACGGCACGACTCGCAGAGCGCAAATGAAAACAGAAACCGTAAACATTAGCTCAGATGATGCCCTCATTTTTCGTTCTCGTACCGCACGGCTCGCACAGCGCAAATAAAAACAGAAACCGTAACACACACATTCAAATGATATTATAATTTCGTATTCTGGTACCGCACACGGCTCACTGAATGCAAATGAAAACCAAAATTGTAAGCGCTAACACGAATGATCTTCTGATTTTACGTTCTCGTACGGCACGACTCGCAGAGCGCAAATGAAAACAGACACCGTAAACTTTAGCTCAAATTCTGCTTTCATTTTGCGTTCTCGTACCGCACAGTTCGCACAGCGCAAATGAAACAGAAACCGTAAGCACGAACTCAAATGATGCTCTCATTTCGCATTCTCGTACCGCATAAGGAACGAGGATCCCGACACACACTGAAACATACAATCTGAATTCTGCCTTTCGCAAGCCCGTGCGCCAAGGGGCTTCACGGAACGATCTTGACACGCACTGACATTGACAACGTTGATTTTTAAATTCGTAATTTTTGACAGGCCGTAACAAGCATCATTTGAGCAAGTGCTTACGCTTCCTGTTTTCATTCGCGCTCTGCGTGCCGTGCCGTACGAGAAGGTAAAATGAGAGCGGTTTGCAAGGTACGAGAACGCAAAATGAAGCACCATTTGAGCAAGTGCTTACGCTTCCTGTTTTCATTTGCGCTCTGCGTGCCGTGCTGTACCGTAACGCAAAATGAGAACATAGTTTCTATTTGCGCTCTG